GATATGTTATAAACTCAAGTGGGTACTCTTCTTTTACTGGATACCCGCCTGAGTTTTATGGTTTGCGCTTCTTATAATGTGTCGCTGCGTAGTGATGATGATGATGATGATCATGGTAGTGATGATAATGAGGAGGAGAAGGAAGAGAAAGATGATGATGACGATGAGATTAATGACGATGACAATGACCAAGTTGGTAGGCGAATAACGATGTTTAAGGTATTAAATCTTTTAACAAGTTCTCGTTTGAACGACGAATAATTATTATGTGTCGATAATTATTTCAATTTTTTAGGTTAACTTTAAAAAATTTTTAATTCTTTCTATAAAATATTTTTACAAGCTGTTGAGCGGAAAATGTTTGCATGGCTGGAAAATGTTTAAGAAACTTGTCTCTATGCAAACAAATTTAAGAAATGATTGCATGTGTCTTATTCTTTTTCATGTTTTTGTTCCCATGCAAAACCTGGACACTAAAACAAAAATTGAAACAGCTTGAGTTGTTAATCGAGTCATCAACTAATCAATTAACTAATTAATTCATTTATTTGTTTTTAAGTTATTTTATTTTCCATGCTTAAACATTCTTACTCTGATATTTATTTTCCGTTACAATCCCATGATCATTTTATAGTACTGACCTGCTGTTGTAACAGACTCTGGGTCTGTCAGATGGTGATCTATAAAGAATAATAAATAAAGAGAATGAAGTGTCACAGAGAGGAAGAAGCTAGGTGGAAAAATGTGCGTACAAAATGTCAAGTTTGGACTTTTTAAATATTTGCAAATTGGCGGATTATGTGGAACTGTGAAAAGTTAACTGGAAAGTAGAGTTGGAAAATTGATGAGATCATACCGGAGTGGATGAGTGACATTTTGGAACAAGCTGTTGCAATGAAACGTTGAATCCAGTAAAAATGAACAATGGTAAGAAGGGGTTTTAAAGACCGCAAGAAAGATGAACTCCATCCTCTCTTTCCTTTTCTTAAAGGATTAAAGAAGATTCCTCAAAGAAGTTTCCAGAATGATTGAAAATGAAAATGTTCATAAATAATAAATGCTCCAACACAAAACTATGAGTATTCTGTATAAAGCTATCTAAAAGTGTTAGTCATTTTCTAGTTGCAAACACCGAAACAGGCATATTTGAACTTACAAGCACGCAGTTGAAGACACGCGTATACATACAAACACATAAAATCAGACATACATAACACAAGACACAAGTTTATACAAAACTACACACACATATAAACACAAGTTTATACAGAACTATTCAAACACACACACACATATACACGCACATACACACACACACAAGTGAACCCGCACACGTTTAGTCGTTTAACTTTGAAACGTGTTGCCACTTAGCACGCTTCGCAACACATACAGACGCGCACACACAAAACACATGCAGATAATAACGCGCACATAAAAATACACAAACAAACACGCACATACAAACACACACACACAAACATATACACAAAAACAAAATAAAACACACATAACATACAGGTCAAACTTCACACATATAGCACAGGTGGAAATATAAACACACACACGAACACACACAAACACACACACACACAACAAACACACACATATAAGCTATATAAAAGTATCTAGGTAGTTAATTAAAATTCAATTAATGAATGAATTGGATTTATTAAATTCAGTCTAAGGCAAGCATACATATGCACGCGCATTTCCACATATATACACGCACGTTTGTGTGCGTGTATGTGGGCGTGTGTGTTTGTGTGTGTGTGCGTGGCATATTCACAAATCGGTTGAGGCTTTGTCGGTAAGAAATAAGAAGATCGTTCTGTATGCGAATGTGTACCTACATTTGTAAAAATGTGTGTGTGTGTGTGTGTGTGTGCGTGCGCGTGTGATTATGTGTCAGTGTGTGTGCTTTTGTATGAAAATAAGTCAAATTCTGCTCGCGTGTGTTTGATTTGGACCAGTTGTAACATTCATGCATTCCATTGATCTAATAATGTACCGACATAACAACCAAACCTCACTGGCGTGGATGATATCATCGTCATCATCTGATGTATCTGATATCATTGTCATCATCTGATGTATCTGATATCATTGTCATCATCTAATGATATCTCTGATATCATTGTCATCATCGTGATCATCTGATGATATCTCTGATATTGTTGTCATCGTCATCATCGTGATTGCTGAATTGTATCATCATCACATTGGTTTTATCATCAACATTTCTGTAACTTTGTCACTTCTTCCATTAAAGTTATCATAACATTGCCTGTATGTATGATCATCATCGTCATCGTCAAAGAAGCCAACATCAACATCACTTCATCACATCAACCAGGCCCCACTCACAATATTAATTATTCTTATTCAACTTCTTCATCATCATCATTATTATTATAATCATCATTATTATCATTATTACCATTATCGTAATAACATATCGAGAAGGAGTCAGCACTTGGAACAGCAAAAGACGAAACAAAAGAGACAGCATATTGCGCAACTGACAAATAACAAATTCATTGCTTGATTAATTATTTTATTGATTAATTAACTTATTATTCAACTACAAACACACAAACACACACACACGCACAAGCACACGCATATATATATATAAGGGGTGGTGTTAGACTCTTACGCAATAAGATATATGGGCAACAAGGGATAGATAGGTAGATAGGCGAGAATTATATATATATATATATATATATATATATATAATATGTATATATATATATATATATGTGTGTGTGTGTGTGTGTGTGTGTGCGTGTGTGGACGTGTGTGACTAACCACACGTACAAATTGGACTGAATAATTGATACAACGTACGTAGGCAGAACTTACGTAAGGCGGTTTTCAAATTATAATTAAATAAATGGATGGATGGATGGATGGATGGACGGACGGACGGAGGGATGGATAAATGGTTGGATGGAAGGATAATTTGATGAATAAATCAACTGATAAATAAGCATGAACCAAATAACAAACATAAATGAATATTCAAATGAATTAATGAGCAAACGAACGAATGAGCAAACGAATGAACGATCGAATGAATGAATGAACGAACGAACGAACGAATGAATGAATAATTGATTGAATAAATGAATGAATAAATGAATGAATGTTCGAATGAATGAACAGTTGAGGCATGAAACAAACTAAAACGCGGAAACATTTAAAGAATTTAAAGAATTTTTATTAATTATATACTCTTAAATGTATTAATAAGTTTTTATTATATTAAATAATAAACGTATAATCAGTTTATTTTTACCATTTAACTAAATAATTAATGAAAAATTAGATTGTTTTTAATATTTTCAATAAAATAAAATATAATAAACAGTTAAATATTTATGAATAAATAGTAAACCAGGTTTGAATGTTATTGATAACATTTAACAGTTTCAAATGTTACCTTTCGAGTTAAGTTTGTTTTTAAGTTTATAATTTGTTCATTCAATCATGAAATTATTCAATTAATCAATCAATCAATTAATCAATCAATCAATCAATCAATCAATCAATCAATCAATCAATCAATCAATCAATCAATCAATCAATCAATCAATCAATCAATCAATCAATCAATCAATCAATCATTCATTCATTCATTCATTCATTCATTCATTCATTCATTCGTTCATTCATTCATTCATTCATTTATGGTTGCAATCATTCGTTCTAGGCACAAGACCTATACGTTTTAGTAATCATATTAATAACAATAATAAAATAATAATAATTTTAAATAATATTAAATATTATTATTATATTTTAACGAAAATTATTAAAAACCGATAATAAAATTATTTGCAGCTAGGGTAACAATACATGCTGACGCTTCTACATGGATATTAAAGGCGCCATTAATCAAAAATAATTAATAATAAATGTTGTTGTTGTTATTATTATTTTCATTTATTATTAGCAGTTGTTGTAATGGTAGTGGTAGTAGTAGCAGGAGTAGTAGTAGTGGCAACATCCACAACAACAGCAGTAGTAGCGTATGTAGTAGTAGCAGCAGCAGTAGTAATAGTTATTTAAAATGAAGCATGCATACTGAAGAGAATTATTAAATAATAATATTTTATTTTTTCAATTTAATTCTCTCGTATCATAGAGTGGAGTTGTTGTTGTTTGTTTGTGCTGTTGTTCATACTGTTAGTTTCAAAGTTGTTAATGATGATGTTGTTGTTGATGATGTTGTCGTTGCTGTTGTAATAAACGTCATTACTGTTGTGTTGAATGTTGTTGTCACGTGGTATTGTGTTGTTGTGGCTGTCGTTTTCGCGGTTACATTGAAAGTATTTGTTGTCGCATGCGTTGTAGCTTACGTAACCGGCGTGGTCTACATAATTGACGTTGTTGTTGTCGTTGTTGTTGTTGTTGTTAATGCTGCTAATGTTGTTGTTGCCGTTTTTGTTGCTGTTGCTGTTGTAATTGATGTTTTTGTTGTTGTTGAAATGGGCTTTGTTGATTACACCGCCGTTTGGGTTTATGTTGTGATGAATACTGTTGTTGATGTTGTTGTTGTTGTTGTTGTTGATGCTGTTGATGTTATTGTTGTTATTGATGATGTTGTTGTTGTTATTATTATTATAATAGATAGAATTTGTTAAGGTGTCGACATGAGCAACCGAAGTATCGTTGTTGTTGTTGTTGTTGTTGTTACACAAATACTCAAATAAAAAATTGTTGTTGTTGTTGTTGTTGTTGTTTATAATGTTGATGTTGGTCGTTACGTTGTTGTTGTAATTGTTGTTCCCATCTACGCTGAATCTTAACTCATTATCATAAGTTTGGATCTCATTTTGAAATCCGACCAATCCAGTGCCCTTCTCGTAGCATCTCTTTCCGTGATTGGCTGAAATTTCAATTTCGTGAGAGCTAATAACAGCATCGCATTCTTGTGACGTCATGATGATGTCGACGTTTTGTTCGCGTTTTCTTTTTGATTTGCGGTCTTTGGCTCGTCGATTTTGAAACCATATTTTGACCTTTTCATTTTATATTTAATTTATCACATTTTGAATTAGTTTTGGGTATTAGTTATACTTAGGTGGTTATAAAACAAAAAGATTATTTGATTATGGAAAAAAATTAAGTTGATGAACGTGATTTGTAAAGTTTGTCCCTTAAAGTGAATAATGTCAGCCGCCTTTGCTATGAAATAAACTTATTGTAAAAAAAGGTGTTTGTACGATGTATTTGCAATAAAGGCAAGAATGATATTTTAAAAAATTAACAAGACTGAATATTTTATGTTAATGATGTTGGTTTATTGTTAGTGTTGGTTGGTACAATGAAGAGAGAGAGAGAGAGAGAGGAATGGTGTTTTCTCACCAACTAATTTTATAAGTTTTGTCTCAGTGTGTAAGTCTCATAGACCAACCTGCCGGTCGGAGAGTCCGATGAATGCTGCCAGTTCAGACTTCCTCTGAATTGTGACGTACTGATTGTAAAGGAACTCCTTCTCGAGTTCAACCTTTTGCAATTCACTGTATACTATTCTGTACTTGTCTTTCGTGCGAGTTTTGCCTGTGTGGGTGCGTGTTTGTCTGTGTGTTTGTCTGTGTGTATGTCAGTGTTTATGTCTGTGGATTTATGTCATGGTGTGTATACCTGTGTATGTGTCTATGTTTTTTTAAACATTAAAACTGTAATCAACTTGAAGAAAACCAACAAATTCTAGTGACGAATGAATGAATGTTTGAATTAATATATTGAGAACACAATACAGTTTATTCAACTTTTGAAATCTGAACATGAGAGGTCGAACTTACAACTTAATAAAAATAACTATCAATAAAAGAATGAATGCGAAATTGAAAAATATCTTCCATTTGTGGGCTCATTTATCTGCTTTTTCATTCTTTCAATCATTCATTCCTTCACCAGCAAGCAAACGTTTGATGTAATGATGACAAAATGATGAGCGAATTATTAGAGACCACCATTCAATGGCTCCTTTAATCAGGAACATCTACTTCTATTACACATGCGTGCGATCAACACGCCTTCAACCATTATATCTTCATAATTTATGCGTGTACACACACACACACACACACACATACACGTACATACACACGTACATAAAAACGTACACACACACGTACATACACACTCGTACTCAGACATACACACATTTACAAACACACAAACTTTTAATGTACCAAATCATCGTCATATCAATATTTTTATAAATTGATCTTAAACAACATCGCCAAAATCATCAAATTTAATATTTAATCGCCGCCATTATTGTCGTCATCATAAAAGCTATATTTAAAGTTCTTATCAGCGTTTTCCTCATCGGCATCATCATCTTTATTATCATATTTGCCATCATCATCACAGTTGTCATGAAAAAATCATTATTTTGTCGGAACCATCATATCATTATCATCATAATTGCCAGGCACGTGGTAACGCCTTCTTTGATCTTAACCACGCCCATAAATGGACCATCACAAGCCGAGCTCATTATAATATGCTAATTGAATGGCCTGCTGATTGCATAATTGGTTTTTTTTCTGTCAAACATAATAGGCGATGACGTTGATGTTGATGAAGTGTTTTTCCATAACATGGCAATGGATGACGATATGAAACAATCACTCATTTATCTCAATCTTTCATTTGTCAAACATTATGTAATCAACTAATCGGTCAATCAATCAATCAATTAATCAATCAGTTAATCAATCAATCAATCAATCAACCAATTAATCAATCAATCCTTAACTAAAAACCAGTATACCAGTTGATGGTATTGTAGAATACGTTTGTTTCTTCATCCAATCCCAGGGAGGATTGTTGTTGTTGTTATTGTTGTTGTTGTTGCTGCAGCTGCCGTTGCTGCTATTACTACACATTGTGTCATTGCTGTCATCAAAAGTGTCGTCGTCGTTGTTGTTGCAGTTGTTGTTGTTGATGTTACAAGTGTTCTTGATGCTGTTGTTGTTGCTGTCGTTGCAGTTGTTACTACAAATTGTGTCGTTGTTGTTGTCGAAACTACTGTCATTGATATTTTTGCTGTTTTTGATTTCATTGTTGCCAGTGTTATTGTTGTTGTTGTTGTTGTTGGTACAGTTGATGATTTTGGGGGTGTTGCCGTTGTCGAAGCGGGCAAGGCTGTTCATGAAACTGTTGTTATTGTTGAGGCTACTGTGGTTGCTGGTCATGCTACACAATGGGTTGTTATTGTTGTTGTTTTCAAAAGTGTCGTCGTTGTTGTCGATGCAAATGTTGTTGTGATTGATGTTATTGACGTTGTTTGTACAGTCAGTGTTGTTGCTTGCACAGACGTTCTTGTTGTTTTCCTTTTTGTTGTTGCAGTCTTTGTTGTTATTGATGTTGAAGTTGTTGTTGTTATTAACGTTGAAGTTGTTGTTGTTGTTGTTAACACAGTTGTTGGCAAAAGTGTTGCAGCTGTCGATGTTGTCAAAGTTACTCACGAGATTGTTGTTGACGATGTTGTTGTTGTTGTTATTGTTGATGTTGTTGTTTGGTTCGTTGGAGTTGGCATTAAAAAATTGTGCATTGAAATACGGGTTGTGGTGGTAGTAGTAGCGATAGTAATGGGAAGGATGGTAGTAGTTGTAGTGGGTATGGTGCTCAACGAGTTGTATGAAATTGTTGTTCTGTTGGGCAGTTGTTGAAAAAGAAGGCTGTTGATGTTGTTGTCGGTGTTGTTGGTGATGTTGCTGCTGGTAATATTGTAGTTGTGTTGGATACAATTGTAGCACTTGCTCATACTGATCCTCAATCGCATGCTGGGTTCGATGGTTGTGGTGGTGGTGATAATGATGAGGATTTTGTTTGGGTTTTTGTTCGAGCAACTTGTTTTTGATTTTGCTGCTGCTGCTGCTAGAAAATGTAGGAGCTTGGAAGCAAGAATAGTCAAACGCGGAGTTTTGTTGCTGGTGTTGATTGTTAAATAATAGGAGTTGTTGTTGTTGTTGTTGAGGATGTTGCTGTTGCAGCTGTTGCTGTTGTTGTTGATGTTTCAACTGACACGAATGAAATTGAACGTTTTGTAGTTGTTGTTGTTGTTTTTGTGGATCGTGTTGTTGGTGTTGTTGATTTATTAGTTGTATCAATTGTTGTTGTTGTTGTTGTCCATTTTCAACAATCTTCAAAAATTCACTATCATTTCCCATATCAGAAGCATATTACAAGAATGATACTTTTTAGCGTCCACGCTGTGAAATTGTCAACAAACTATTTATTACCCACCATCATCATTGCCTTTTTATCTATTATCTTCCACATGCATCTTTATCTATCTGTCTGTCTGTCTGTCTGTCTGTCTGTCTGTCTGTCTGTCTGTCTGTCTGTCTATCAATTTTGTATCATTTCTAATATATCATTTTTTTAATAATTAAGCTTTAAAATATCAAATGGTTTATTCAGGTGTTAGTGTATTGAGTTTTTATTCATAATGTTAATCCTTTAGTTTCTGTTTGTAAGCATTTAGTCAACTATCTAAAATTAACCATTTAAAATAAAAATGGTCATAACAAATTGATGACTTTAATTGAAGTTGTCATCAATTGATTAATTTTGTTAAACGATTGAATAATGTAAATAAAAAGTTCATCAGACAAACTTAAAATCGTATCTAAACAGAGTAAAAATGTTCAACAGGGAACTAAAATATTTCTTCAAACGATCAGCGATCTAATTTGCCAACCAACTAATCAATTAATCGACCAACCAATCAATCAATCGATCGGGCGGTCAATTAACCAATTAATCAATCAAATTTATGAGTTAACAGTTGTTAATTAATTGATTGATTGATTCAAAACTGGTCAGCCAAGCAGCCAATCATTTAACTAATCAATCAATCAATCAATCAATCAATCAATCAATCAATCAATCAATCAATCAATCAATCAATCAATCAATCAATCAATCAATCAATCAATCAATCAATCAATCAATCAATCAATCAATCAATCAATCAATCAATCAATCAATCAATCAATCAATCAATCAATCAATCAATCAATCAATCAATCAATCAATCAATCAGTCAATCTATCAATCAATCAATCAATCAATCAAATCAGTCAGTCAGTCAGTCAGTCAATCAATCAATCAAACAATCAATCAATCAATCAATCAATCAATCAATCAATCAATCGATCGATCGATCAATCAATCAATCAATCGATCGATCGATCGATCGATCAATCAATCAATCAATAATTCAATCAATCAATTAATAACTATTAAAAAATTAATTGAAAAATTTTACCTTTAACAAAATTTGTTAAGAAAGTGTAAATAAATAGAAAAAATATATTAACTCCTCTGAGCAGAGAATAAATGATGATGAAAACTAGTTGAATAAATTATGTTAATAATTAATAAACAATTTTTTAAAGTTAACTCCGCGAGATTTATTAATTTACTTGTTGAGGCTGCTCAATGTTATCTGCATTCATTTTCATTAAATGGTTGATTGATGGGTCATATTATGATGACCACGCCTTATTTGCTCAAACTGGCCAATAGTAGATGTCACAGGTTGAATGTCGAATTCTGATTGGCTACTATGAATTCTAGAGATGCGTTGTTGTTGTTGTTGTTTAGACTGATAAGAGTGTTCCGTAATATTATGTCGTTGTTGATGTCGTTAATGTCGTTATTGTTATTGATGTTGTTGTTAAACATGTTATTGATGTCACCAGCTAAATTGCTGTTGTTGTTGCCTCTGAGTTGTTGTCAATGATGAAGATGACTTTTGATGATGATGTCTCCAAAATGATGATTTTTTTGCAAGATGATGGTGTGATGATAAATACGATTAGGTTTTTGTCCGTCTTTAAATTACGTCTTATCAGCACAATTAGCCAGAGATAGAGAGGCGCTTATAACACGCTACTAATGCACGTACGTAAAAATGTATAGACACACATAAACACGCGCACACTGACTCACACGCACACACAATCATACGCACACAAATAAAACTATTTATCAAAACGTAAGAAGTCCTGGCGAGCTTGCAAATCAACCTACTTACACATACAAACAAACAGACACAAGCTAACAGGCAAAGATAGTTAGAAAAACAGAGACAAACTGTGGCATTTACAGTTAGTAGAAATAATTTTTCGCATGAAAAAATGTTTGGCGCCATCTCGTCTCAAAACGATGTCCGAAGCGTCGTCTGCTGTTTATCCTTATCAACACTCGTAGTTTACCGTTCTCTGTTTGTGTGTCTATGTGTGTCTGTGTGTGTTTGTGCCTGTGTGTGTTTGTCTGTTTTTTTGGTTATGTTGGTGTATTTTTGTTTGTTTTTATGTACGTGTGATTGTTTATGTATATTTTGTGTATGCACGTATGGGATTGTTTGTTTGTCTAAAAGTTGGATTGTATGTTTTTATGTGTGTTTTTTGTCTGAGTTTTGCATGCAGTAGTTATTTTTGTTTCGTTTATCTGTACATGTGTTTGTGTGTTTGTTTGGATGTATAAGTTTGTATGTGGATGTTTTGTATAATTGTTGGA